GGGCCAAAGATTAAAGCAAACTTGAAAGACTAAAAAAGAATATGAAGTCAAAAAGAAGAGTTGGGCTCAAGCGGATGGTCAGTCGCCTTTGTTAGCTGTTATCTATATTGTCTTTTTGGCGAAACTCAAACCGAGATTAATACCGATCAAGATAACAGGAATGCCCAACGAAATGCCATAGACACAGACAGCCTGGAGAATTACCGTCAGATTCGGAGATTTAGCAAACTCCACCTACAGCAGCTCCGTGCAGAGATAGACACACGCACACCGGGAGTCCATGAACTTTATTCAGGTTTCCTCAGGAGATCGCTGATAAACCTAGGAAGAAATGCAAGCCAAAGGAATCCTCAAGAAAGTATGCAAACAGAAGAAAAGTTTACACAACCAGCTTTTAAAATAACACTCGCAACTACCTCCTGACCCATTGTCCTGCTTATAAAGGCTTGGAAAGAGGCTGTGGCTTTGTCTGGGAAAGATGCAAAGCGGAGACAACATTTTTCCCTAATAATAAGCGAGGTCATAATTACTAGGAAAAGTCCCTTTCTTTTAACTATTCCTAGGTTAATTAGCAACTGTGATGCCCAATTTATATACAGGTTCGATGTATAAGGGGAAGCCTGCATACAGTCCTAACCGTGGGAGATCTAAGCCTTTCTGACTCCAGCGATATTATGCCAAGGATGGCTATTGGTGTGTTTAATAATAACATTAAAATCTCGTTACAAGACTATACAATGCAATAAGCTCGCAATAAAAACCAAAAAATCCAAATTCAAGCAACCTGTATTTGCATGTAGTCAATAGACTTAGACCCTTCATGCTCTCAAATATCTGCTGGTTGTACGGTTACACTTTTTTTCTTTTTCCAAAAGGTATGTCGACGACCTCCTTTGATAAAAGATCCCGAAAGGGCCAAACCAGCGACCACTTCATAATGCTTTATCTCGAGTAGCGGCGGGGCGCAGTCGGCGATTTTTCCACGTAAATGTCTTCTTTTCCCTTCTTTCTCTCTCTCTCGTGCTTGAGGTTTCGTGAGAGGCTTGTTTTAACATAATCGAGCAATTTTACCTCGAGCCGTGAATACAAGCGGCGAGGTAGCTATTAAGGGGCGGGGCAGGGGGCAGGGGTCCATGAGGGGGAGTAGGGGGGTGTTGGAAGTGTGGCATTGCAGGGGGAGGGTTAGGTTGTGGAAGAGAACATGCATGGGGTTTAAAACTGTCTAATAGCGGAGAAAGGATGGCGTTTGGTAGTGTAAGGGGGAAGATTGCGCGATTTGGACTCCTGGAAGTGCAAAGGTTTAGTATTTAGATTCTGGTACAGTAAACAAGGGATACATCTTTTTTTTTTTTTTTTGGAATCATCTTTGGAACCAGAAAAGCAAAAGAATAAAAGAGTGACAGAAATACTCTCCTATAGGTTCTAGATTGTCGATAAGGCAAACAAGAGATCGAGTTTAAAGTGAAGAAAATTAAAGACCAAAGGACTATAGGTCAAGAGAGAAAACGAAAACAAACAGGGTGCACAAGACACAGGGTGTAAAACTACATAGCGGGCTTGAAGACTTTAGATTACGTAACGATAGAGCAGGAAAGGTTACATAGCTTGGGTCTCGTTGGATCGTTTTAATAGAAATTCCGTATTTGGGTTAACTTAGTATCTATGGAGAAGCAACGGAAGGGCAAAGCACGGGTCATAAAAAAGAAAGAAAAAGAAGAAGAAGAAGAAAAAAACTGACGGAAAATAAACATAAACTTATGAAAAATATTTTTGAATAGCCATGTGCGTTTGCAAGTGCCGGAACGGAAAGACTCATAGAATATGTAATAACTATCCTATGTACTGCGCGCCAAAAGTCCTGCACACGTAAAAGCCAATCAACAGCACCATAAAATATAGAAACAATAAGGGTAAACACCCAGCCAATACGGTGCTGAGCTCGGGAAGGTGTGGGCGGCATGAACTGTGACCTATGTCTTCCTGCGTGTTGTGTGTTTGAACTGAAACATGACTTGTAGTCTTCCTAATCATCACTGATATATATTTCCCCCAACCCCTACCAGCAGACATACATACATGAATACATACACAAATACACACACACAATATATTTATTTTATATATTATATATATATATATATTATATATATATATATATATATATATATATAATATTATATATATATATATATATATATATATATAATATATATATATATATATATATATATATTATAATACTATATATATATATATATATATATATATATATATATATATATATATATATATATATATATATATATATATATATATATATATATATATAATATATATATATATATATATATATATATATATATATATATATATATATTATTATTATGTATATATGTATGTATGTATGTATGTGACACACCACACACACACACACACACACACACACACACACACACACACACACACACACAACACACACACACACACACACACACAACACACACACACACACACACACACGCATACACACTATTATATGGC